AACAATGGTAAGGCTGATGTACAATGATGTAAATGTACTATGCCACTGCAGATGCTGTTTTCAATGATTCCTGACAATGAAACATTGTAGTAATGTAGTCACGTCCATCACAAGTCCCTGAAGGTCCATCATAAGCTATTCAGTCCAAAATCAAATCATAAGCTACAAGTATTCACATGAACTGTGACCATAGCATTCCTTTGTCAATGTTCACCCTGTTACTAGCCACTGGTCATACAAAACTAAAGATGAATAACAGACCAATATCACAACTGAAAAAAGCTAATAAGTCGAACGTATGGTGTCAAAATCCATTTCTTGTATGGATAGTCTAAAATGGCCTCCCTGCTCATTTTGAATATAAGATACACCACTGACATAAATCATTCATATGAACTCTAGCGAATCACTGCATCACAAAAGTACGATTTTAAAAGCAAAGCATGCCACATGTGCAAGGCATGATCAGTGTTAGGGCATTTCCACTACTAGTCATATGTCTCTGATACAACAAGTAAACTGAAATATGTCCTATATTCCATCATTCAATAAGCGTTTTTTGCTGTTAAGTCCCCTGTTGCCAACCTTGCTTCAATATCAGCTCCCGCATCAATCAAGGCCAGGACGCATTTAGCGTGCCCCTCTGAAGCGGCCAGATGCAATGGGGTATTGGAGTTTTCGTCCTCATCGTTGATCCCTGTCAAGTCCTGACGGACAAGTTCTTTCAAGGTACTGCAGAGAAAAATCAGTTGTTCAAGTTATCAAGCAGGGACTGTGCTGAAGCAGCTACATGTACGAGACACGTAGGGAATTACTTGGTGATGCATGCACTGTGACTATCAGAAATCTTACTACATTATAATATGCCGCCTTGAACTTGATTCTTTAAAGGATTTACAATCAAAAAGCTCTGAAATTGCTGTGACAAGATACAGCCCAAAAACATCAAGGAGACTCCTACAAAAATGCTTCCAAGCAAAAATCTACAGTTTTGGCTCTCAATATATGCCTTTTAATATTTATGAGTGGCCAGCTTGAATCAATGCTAAAGACTGTGACACAAAACAGACTATCCCAACATGCTTCAATGAATAAATTCCATAAAACTTGGGCTTAACTTTCAGCCTGAAGAACAAACATTTCTAAAAGTTGGCATCGTTGGCCCCTTCCACTCATCAGATGTGAGCAATAAATAAAGTTAATTTAGGGTGCCAGCAAAGCGATGATGTCTCCTTTGATATGTCCACACATGAAGCACATAAATCA